ATATCAATCACATTACTAGAAATAAAGGTATAGGCTTTGAAATTGCTGGATTATAACCTGACTGAGAATACATTAGTGTTATTTTAACTTTTATTTAGTCAATTAGGTTACATTAGGACTGGACTGTATGGTCAACATTGATTAATCCACTATTATATTAACATAGTGAACGTCTTCTTTCTTGTAAAAAGTACTTAAAATTTGGTTACAGTGTTACACAATAACTGACTTAAGAAGTTAATTGGTATACCATTATTGTAAAAGTAGAATTATTACTGCAGATAGTATGATGTTAAAAGATGTTTACTTCTTAACACAATAGTGCTATGTTATCTGAATAGACTTCTAGTTTTATTCTTTAATGGTTTTGAAACATTGTAAGATAAAGTTATAGCTATTTTATTTTACAAAATAAATTGATGTTATTCTAGTTTTTATGTTTCTTTGACTTAAATTTAGGCTACTTGAAGAATATAAAAAATACTAAGTTTTTACTTTGGCTAAATGCACATATGGCTAATAAATAAATTTACTTATGACTATTCCTCTCCCATAGTGGGTTACAAAGTGTTTGAGTAACTGTATAGTTGTAAGTACAACACTTAAGGCCCCAATGTCATCATAAAAACAATAGTGAATTGTCTAGAAAAGTGTACACAGTATTGTTGCAACAGGTAACTGATAAGGAAATAAATCCTTTGTTATGGTTCTACATCTTTTACATGCTGGCAGAGTATGGTTACAGTTATACTTGTCATAAGACATTGATATCAGGCCTTTTACATTTTTATTAATTAAGAAGACAGACCAACATTCTGTTGAAACATCAAGTATATTCCCCCCAAAATAACTTGCTTCATTATGCTGTTATAAGTCAACATTTAGTTGTTGGTATCAAAGTATTCTTATTTTGTAATTCATGTAGGAGTGAATGATATTGAAAATTAGAAGAGCTTCTTAAAAGTTATAAAGAATTTCTTTAGAGGTTTAGGGATATAAATAGATATGTGACCCTTTCAGAGGTGCTTCCTCAGACTAGATGCAGAAATAAATTACTAAGAAAGATCCAAAGCTTAAAGAAAAGGTTATCACTGATATGTTCAGAACAACAGGTGGAATGGATAGACCTTGGAATAGTTTTTCATTTTAATGGTGAATTATATGCTAAAAATGGGTTCAACTTAAGCAGGTTAGGTAATAACATATTTGAGGAAGCTTTAATTATATCTATTAAAGATAGTTTAATGTTACTTAGGGTGAGGGAGTTTGATTAACTGGAAATAAATAAATTGATAGGCAATGAGTTTGGAAATAGAAAATTTAAAGCATAAGTTAAATAATAGTTTTAAGTATAAACATAGTAGATTCAAGAATAAGGTTACTTACTATTTTTTCTGATATTATGAGTTTTAGGAACAAAATGGATGGTTTCATGGCTCTTGTTCATAAGGAACACCATGATAAAATGGGAATCACTGAAACTTGGTTAGATTTGGAGAGCATTGATAAAAGAATTATTCTGAAGTTATAGATTATAAGTTACTTAAAAGTGATGGAATTTTTTAGAGAGGAAGTGGGGGTAGTTCTTTACACAAAGGACAAATTTCAATCTATTGAGATTGAAAAGATTAATAAATGGTAGTTGGTTGAATCTATAGTGGTGTCAATTGGGGGTTGAAAGGGTAGTAAGTTTTTGATTTAGAGTCTCTTATAAGCAATCTAATGAAACAGTTGGGGGCCAAAGAGAAATTGTGTAGTGAGAGCAGAGTTGTAACTAATAACAATATTGTTACAATAATTATGGAATACTTTAATTTTAGGCACATTCATTGGGATTCTATGAAGCCATATAGTAATTCCAGATAATTTTCTATGCAAATGGTTGAGAGCTAACCATGGGAGATGCCATTTTATATTTAAATTAAATGTTAATGAGAATATGGTTGCAAGATTTAAAGTAGAAGAACATTTGGAGAAGAATGATAACATAACTAGGTTTGTTGTTTTGCTATGTGTTGAGATATGAAGAAATTTTAGCTCCTAGTTTCAGAAAGTCTGTTTTGAAGCCTACCAGTGGCTTAGCCACATCTTGCCACTGGCATACCATTGGTAGTTAAGGAGTAACAATAGACACCTTGGCATTGGAATCTTTTCCTTTGGTGTCTTATTGGAGGATGTATTTTGAGGGGGAGACAAAGAATGTGCTCCACCTTTGCTGGCACTGATACTTCCTGAATCTGAGGAAAACCTTCTCAGAGCTAAGTTGTCTCGAAGGGTGGTCAGATGATGGGAAGATAAGAGACAGCTGAACCTAGGATGGCACCATCACCAAGGGCCAGGATAAGTGGGCTGAGAGGTTTTGTTGCCTACTTTGGCACCTCCAGTTTCCACAATAGTTAGGATTTCCTGATGAATGAGGGAAAGCTAACCCAAGGACACACTAGAACATGGCAGAGATGAAGTAGGGAGCTTCCACCTCTAAAGAAGATGGACCTCTTCCCATCAAAGAGGCTGCGAAAACAGAACCAACAGCAGTCAAGACTAATGTTCTCAATAGTATCATCAGTCACCATTATAGACCCCCAATGCTTCAGCAGATCAACCTTTTTAATTGGCATTGTTAAGAGGTGAGTACAGAAATCTGGACAGAAGCCTGAGCCTTATATTGTAGGGAAGAATATTAGCTGCAGCTGATGTCAACACATTCAACGTGGGTCAAAAAAGAAGTCAGCTGCTTCCAAGCCTAGTTTACGGACAAAAGAAGAGTCTGTGGCAAAACTTCTGACACCATTATGGCAACTACTGCAGGTTGTCACCAGACAACCGTCTAAAATGAGAGCAAGGGAAGGGAACCTTGCACTTGCCATTGGGTGACTATAAGTATTGTATATCCTGATTTTGGTGACTTAAATTGTTGTATAATGTAACTTTGGATTTTTTTATTTTAGTGTTGTCATGTTTAAGTATCTTTGTTAAAGGGCTGCTGCTTCTTGTATAGTATTGGTGTTTTGTTCAGAACATCAATGTAAGACTCAGCATTCATGGATCCATGCACTGCAACCAGTGGACCTAGTCCATACACGAGAAGCACCCCCAAACCATGATACCACCACCTCCAAACTTCATTGTTGGGACAACACACTCAGGTAATAAGCATTCTCCAGACATCCTTAATACCCAAACATATTCATCAACCTGGAAGAGCATTTATCGTGACTTGTCGCTCAACAGGACAGATTTCCATTGATCCATGGTGCAGGATTGGTGTGCCTTGCCCCATGCCAATCAATGGTGTGCATTTGTTTTTGTTATCAGTGGCTTGTGGGCTACAGCTCTTCTGTGAAAATTCATGGCATGTAGCTCTCAATGTGTCATGGAAACACTAATAAGATTGCCTGTGGCTGCTCACATCTCCAAACACAGATTTTCTAGAGTATGATGGCAAAATGAGGTAATCAGCCTTCTCAAGGTGTGTTGGTTCCTGTCAGTCAGTATTTTACACCTACCTGGTCATTTCTTGGGCTCATTGTCACCTGTGGACTTCCATATATTCAGCATGTTGCTAATTGTTGACCTAGGAATGTTAACTGTTGTGCAAAAACACATGCAGACACATTTCCCAAATGACATCCAACTGTCCTTCCCCTCTGAAACTCTGTTAACTCTTTCTGAATATTTATGATTCTTCACCCTTATAAGCCAAACTATTTGCATATTTTATTATCACATCCATTTTCCAGCAATCAGAGGTGTGTCCCATGGCTTTTGGTAGGATAGTGTATAATCTGTAATACATTATAGCCAAGATGGATTCATCAAAGGGATTTTTGACTTATTAATCTGGTACAAATTTTTTTAAGTTGGAAAGGATATAGATTTGGTGAACTTAAATTTTCAGAAGTCTTTTAATAAGGTACCACACAATAGAATAGTAAAAATAATCACATTGGCTCATTTGGTGGTTGGATAGGAGAAAGCAAAAATTTTATTAATGGAGTCCACTCAAACTGGACCATTGTTACTAGTGGGGTGCCTCAGGCATCAGTGCTTAGGCCTTTGCTCTTTCTTATTTGCATTAATAATATTGTTAGGGGCATAATTAGTAAATTTTTCAAATCACATTAAATTCTTCAGTCACAGTGGGAACTTAATTTTTTGAAGTTTTCAAATGTGTGTGTGTGTTTATATATATATATGTAATAGAGTCCCATGATCTTTTAATACTGATTGCACCATATAAAATATTAAAATAATGCACTGGAATGAAATAAAATTTCAAAATTAATTTAGGTTTTCTCTATCTTAACTTACAGGTACATCACATGAATGGAAGTTGACTATATTCATGAGAACTTAAAATTAAAACCATGTTAAAGTATTTGCTAACATGGACTTTTTTTGGCTGAATGGTTATTTTAAAACTGCAAACATGAGTTAGCATGGATATAGATTTATCATAAAATTAAATAAGAGTTATTAACTCTTTCACTACTACCTTGGTGGATTGCATCGACCACGTGACCCCAAAGTGACTATCGGGGTGTTTCAGTGCTATAACTTTCAACATGTTTTGTGTACCTTAATGAAGTTTTTGAAGCTTTTAAAAACATTACAAGTCTTTTGTAGAAAAAAATCTGGATTTTTAGTTAAGTATGTTTACTAAAAATATGTTCATTAATATGTGAAGTCAGTGAAGTGATTTTCAACTTAAGATTAAAAATACTTTATCTGAATATTATCAAATTTCATTTGTGTAATCTCTAAAGCCTCATAAATAAATAAAAATCAAATATTATTTTTCACTAAAACTTTATATTTTGTTTGTTACATTCTCTACTCTAACTATATGTATTAAATCAATTTGACCAAACTTGTAACCACCAGAAAGAAATGTGAAATAAAATGATTAGTGCTGTTCTGTGTTTTTTAGCATTGACCATGAAGTTCCAGTGTACTTCTAATCTTTTCATGTCTATTTTTTATGTATATTTTAGTGTTATGGCTGAAGTAGAAACCTACCAAACATAAAGCAACAAATCACCTCTCCTACCATTAGACTGTTTACATGACATCATAAGATGACATTGTCAATGGTAAACAAGCATGTGCAATTGCCATAACCCAAGATTCTCACAGAGTTTATCGTAAGCATGGCTCCAACAACACAGTGGGCAGTGGCGTAACTACAAAAGATGGGCTTGCCTGCATAAAAAGTAATAGGGCTTTCTACATTTATTCCCATTGTCAGCATTTCTTAAGTTTGTCGGCCCTTTTGACTCAGGGAGCATACTTAAGCCACTGATAGTGGTAATGTTTACAGTAGTGGTTGCAAGGAGAATTGTCTAAAGTTACAAAAGTGTGAGAAAATGTTAATGATATGGCTCTATACAAAGTCTGGGCCAATCTGATAAACTTAGCAAGTATTTGGACATTATCCACTGGGGTAGTTATAATTTAGCAATATAGGTGTACAAAGTGCGTACTTATGAACATATGTATA